TTGGGGTAACCCTTAAAGCGTGTGTATTGCCCAGCAATTGACCTACTCTTGCCGGATTCTCAACCTTGAAATGATTACAGCAATTCTTACCAGGGTGCTCTCTGTAAATCTTGACTGGAAAAGTTCAACAATCCCACAGCCTATAGTGAAGTTTGATGTCCATTCTCACTGTTCTTTGGGATACCCTGAGAGTTCTTACACACATTCTTTTTTTTTTTTTCTTTCCTTCTCTCCTCCTCTTCCTCTTTGTTCTACCCTACCTATCTCTCATTCACTCTTAGTGTTAATCCATTTAATTTCTCTCCATAGTTCTTTCTTGTGTGAAGTTATAGCAGTGATTGTCATGTTTTATTCATGCATTGCTAATTTTTCCAAGTACTAATATCTTATACCTCCAGTCATTGTTTATCTTATTTCATTAATAATATATTTTATTTGAAAATGAATGATGGAAGAAAGAAAGAAAAAGAGAAAAAGCTTTCATGCTTTCTTCATTATGAAAAAAATCTTCAAAAAAGATTATTCAATAAACATTTAAGGCTTGTTTCCAAACCTGGCCTCAATTTAATATTTTGGACAGATTTTCCCATCAAAATATTACAATATCAAAAATATTTCTTAGAAAAATATATATCAATATATCAAAAAAAATTAAAACATTCGAAATATGAAATAATTTCAAAAGTTTATCCTAAATTATTAAATTGAGCATCTTGCCGGTAAAAATCTTCTGTAAGCTGATGCTATTAACAGTAACCAGTAGATTGTTGTGGCTACAAATTGCTACCAGATTCCAAACTTTGCTGTATTTTTTTTGTAGCCTATCACTAATACCAGCTACTGCTGCAGATACCAACCACTCGCATCTTGCAAGTAAAGCAGAAATACACACCTGAGCATCAATTTAAAAAAAATAGAAAAGGAAGCACCACATTAAGTGAAAACAGCTTAGGGCTGCCTTAGAATAATCAAATATTTAATACGTTGGTATAATAAAAACACCCCAATGCGCTGGGAACACGCAGTGCAATTGTAACAGGTCAGGTTAGTAAACAGTGTTGCTACAGGAAGCAAAATAGTGACTAAGCCCTTCTCCCCTTCCCTTGTACTTCTCCAGGTAAAATGGTTGACGTATGTGGTGGTACAGTTGCTGCAGCATTACTGTTACTCTGTGTGATAGAGAGGCAGGAAGTGTCATATTCCGACATCTCTATCATGCTAAGCAAGACTCCAAACCAGCACAAGCAGGAGACCAGTCTGAAATGATTTAGCGATCATCTCTGATGGAACGATGATGTCTACACAGGCAAAGATCCTACTTTTCACCCTCTGCTCATCATTAATTCCCTTTCGATTCTTCTACCATTCTTCTTCCTGTAGCATGGCCTGGCTGCTGTTGCTCAATGCCACTTTTCCCCTACTGCTCAGCCTCACACATCAGCTAAATGTCAATGTGAGAGGAGGGGGCAGGGATATGACATGACATGTCTGTCTTACAATACAGCGGCCAGTATCTGCGTCATTAAGTGCTGCCATCTGGTTCACTCTACAGGATGTCATATGGTCAGCCAGAGGATCAGAGAGAGGTGGTTAACTGCACCATAAGTCTGCCTATTTCGCCACTGCTCTCACTCCAGAAAAAGACTTCCTTGCGGACTGTATGTACAGAGCTTAACCACTGACAATAATGAGGGAACTGAACTACAAATAAACCGCATTAGAAGTGGAGACAAGAAGACATCTAATAAAGATATCGCTATCTGTTTGTAGTTTCTCCAAAAGTAGTAGTATTAGTAACCAAAAATCTTTATGGATGAGTTTTTACATCCTCTCTTCTAAGAGGGACATCTATATTATTATTATTATTATTTTTATAAAGCGCCAACAAATTCCGCAGCGCTTGACAATGGGTGGACTAACAAACTTGTAATTGTAACCAGACAAGTTGGACACACAGGAACAGAGGGATTGAGGGCCCTGCTCAATGAGCTTACATGCTAGAGGGAGTGGGGTAAAATGACACAGAAGGTAAGGGAAGTATTGGGTAAGTAGATTGGTAGCATAGTATTCACGGAAGACATTGATATTTTGTGAAGTGAGTTTTTAATAATTTTTTGAAGGCATGGAGACTGGATGAGCATCATAACGGAAAAGTGAAGGCAGTTCCACAGGAACGGTGCAGCATTAGAGAAGTCTTGAATGCGAGCATTAGAGGTGGGAGTACAAGCAGAGGATAGACATAGGTCTTCAGCAGAACGTAGGGGCCTAGACGGGACATACTTGGTGGGAGTATTGCCAGTTCCTCTGGGAACTGATGATTGCTTAGTGGCTTAGAAACTAAGCCTTTTCTTATTGATTGATTATTTGTTTGTGGCACGGTTTGCTGTAGTGGTTATGGTGCTTAGTGCCATTTTAGACAAAACACTTGTGAAGCCTGCTGCCAAACTGCATTAAAAGGACTGTCCAGTGACTGGAAAACAAATCCCTGCAGTGCCCCTTTCCCTCCCACCCCCCATCCCATGTTGCTGAAAGGGTTAAAACCCCTTCAGTGACTTTCCTCAATCCAGCACCAATGTCCCTAAGTGCTGGGTCAGGCTCCGTCCACGCTCCTCCCCCGTGCGCATGCACAGCAATGGCCACCCGCGCATTAGACCTCCCCATAGGAAAACATTCAATTCTTTCCAATGGGGATTCCGGCGACAATGGAGGTCCTCATGCACAGCGTGAGGACGTCCAGCATAGTTTAAAACACTTTTCGTGTTTTAAGAACCTGGAACTTCCTCTAGTGGCTGTCTGATAAAAATATATATATATATATATATATATATATATATATATATATAAACTGCAATAATTACACTTGCAGGGTTAAGGTGATGGAAGTTGGTACCCAGACCAATGGCCAGAAGTGGTCTAGGTGCCTGGAGTGTCCCTTTAAATAAGTAAATTAAAACATACTAGGATGCTAGGAAGCATGTGCTTTATTTTTCCTAAATAGTGCAAAGGGTCTTAAAGACTTACTAATTTGGGTAGACAGTGTCCCACATGACCACTGTAAATGCCTATCCTACTCTGAGATACCTCAAAAAGAATAGGGAAAACCCAGTACCCACCCCTCCTATCCTTCAGCATCACCCAATTTCACTCTTTAGAAAGTCATTCCTAAAACTTGTATTTTAAAATATACCGCTGTATTCTTCCTTATTAACATTTGGACATTTTAGTTTGAGTGTTGTTTCTTGGAATTTAGATTGTAGGACAGGCTTAGCGTCTTGCAATTCAAAAGAAAGTTTGAGAAAAACGGAAAGGGTGGGAGGTGGGAGGAATTCTGATTTCTCAATTTTAGTTTTTTTTACAGTTTGTACATAAGCCAGCACTGTAATACCATAGTTAGGAACATGAACTCTTTTATCAGTTATCACAATAATTGGCAAGAAGAAATCTAACTTGCAAAAGTTACTAGAGATTGCTTGTGTGCTTTTATCATATTGAGGCTGTTTACATTATTTAAAAAAAAAAAAAATGTGATGAACTCACATGAAATTTCTGGTTAATAAACATTTCTTTGCAAACAAAAGCAACTATTTGAATTACACTCAAAATGAATCATACATGGATCTATATATATATACACACATATATATATATATATATATATATGCTTTCTTTTCCTCCATTGTAACTATATCTAAAAACTGCTTCCAAAGCAGCAGATCTCATCTGCAGCCTATAAAAGCCCTCCTATTTCTCCCCAATCACAGGCTTTTATCTGTGTCAGAAATACTCCACAATCAGGGGCTTCACATGTGCCAGAGAATACTCCAAACAGAGGCTTCTCATTGAGAGGCTTCACATGTGCCAGGGATTACTCCAATCAGAGGCTTCTCATTGAGAGGCTTCACATGTGCCTGGGAATACTCCAATCAGAGGCTTCTCACTGAGAGGCTATCAGAGGCATCACATGTGCCGGGGATCCAATCAGAGGCTTTTCATTGAGAAGCCTTTGTGCTGGACCCGCATATGCGCACACGCGATTTCAGCTTTCCAATGCTTCTCGGGGAGCTGTAATACAACTCACTGAGTAGAGGGGAAGGCAAGCACACAGTGTTTCTTTTATTACTGTGGAGTGAATAGAACAGGAAGAAAGCCTCTCAAGCTGTCAGACTGTTTCTGCCCTTAGTTAGAAAAAAATGCTAATTTCTATTGCAATCGGCCCTTTTAAAAACGGTCACGAATGTGACAGACTCCAGCCAAATAAAGAATAGCTACAAGTTGGAGTGCTTTATGTATGGAGTGTTCATTTAATGTTTACCCATAATATGTCTTACATTGACAATAAGTAAGCATACAAAAGTTTACTTTTAAACAAAAACACAGCTAAAAAAACAAAGCTCAAAACATAGAACATTTTGGAGTTTTGTTCAAGGGCTGTTAAGCATAATAAAGCCTTTTATCAGTACTCATTGATACACAGGCAGGTGAGATAAAGATTTTAAAGGGATACTATGAGTGCCAGGAATACAAAGCTTTGTATTCCTGGCACTATAGCTCCCTCTGCCTCTCCCCATTGAATAAAGTGTTAAAAACCCTTCATTTACTTACCTTATCCCAGCTGGACCAATGCTCCGCGACGAGTGGGCGCTAATGCGCGGCAAATACCACACGCGCAATCGACCACCCCAGAAGAAAGCATTGAATTAATACTTTCCTATAAGTAAAAATCTGACGCAAGATGAACTCACCAAAAGGTCCTTTTAGATTCAGGAAGCCCTCTAGTGGCTGTCTGGTAGGCAGCCACTGTGGGCAGACTTAGAGATGCAATGTAAACATTGTGGTTTCTGTGGAACTGCAATGCTTAACATTGCAGCATTGAGTACAAAAGGAACACTTATCAGACCACTTCAATTAGCTGAAGTGGTCTGGGTGCCTACAGTATACCTTGAACATTCGCGTTTCCGCAAATCAACAGAGAGATTTCTTTAATATGCAATCTTCATACACAAAATTGGCTTTGAAAACTTTTCTACAAGAATTATATCTATGGCACCTAGAACCTCTCTGCATTTGGCCATAACATTTGTATGGTTTAGCAGGATTCAGTCGCACGGAATGGCTGCCAACTCCTTCCAACCTTTGCAAGGATGTGTTGTTTAGGTCTTTGTGCCTACTTTAAAATTACTATTTTTTTTAAAAGCACACACTTTAATAATGACACCAACACACTTTTAAAATGTGTCTTTTTTATTGTTAATATCATTCATTTCATTCACACACATCTCAAAAACATGCATGTTATACGTTCCCAACCCATATATTCACCAAGGTATACTTCTGTAGGCTTACATGATCACAGGGGCCTCGAACACAGTGTTGAATATTGTAATGTTGGCCTTTATGGAATCTACAGGTTCATTATATTTGGATATTCTGAATGTACAAGAACACTTATCCAGCTTTACACAAAATGTAGGTATTATTATTGCATTGTATTATCAACATAACATTTGTATGCATATTGTTAAATCTGGTCTGTGCCCTTCCAAGGAGGCAACCATTTTTGTCCTGGAATTCATTTTGGGAAGCTGGAATCCCAATACAGGATTACTAGAAAACCAAGGATCATCACAACACTCACTGGAACCTGGTTGGGAGGAATGTTGCAATATACCCTGCATTTATATTTAGGTTTGTTTTTCTTATTGCAAGAATAGCGTAACACAAAATATAAAATTACTTAACAAAATGTCCTTCAAAATGTTCACAGTGAACTGAATGCAAAATAAAAAGCATTTAGTTTAGATCTTTGGAAACCACACGGAAAACCTACTGATTACATTACGGTCTAATTGCCTGAGATACAATCCTGAAGATAAGAGCACGCTCTCAATTTAATTTAACAGTAAAGAGAAAAATTAATGTATTCACAATTTATTGTCAAGTCTGTTATTTCCTTCAGATGTCATGGATTTGCTGAAAGTATGCATTTTTTTGTTGGCAGTATGGCTTGTCTGCTAGACTTCAATCCTACTAGCAAGGTCAGCACACCTCTTAGTATCAAACCGAAACCTAGGTGCCAGAGGGAAAGCACAGTCAGCATATTCATGTTCAATGACCTAGGGTTTCCATAGAGTAAAAGCAATGATCTATGACAGGAAGCAGGGGGGGAAATAAAATTGGCATCATTTCTGTGAGAAACTCTTAACTGATCTCAGAAGAAACCACTCAAAATTTCCCATCACGGATTCTACACCAATGAAAAGTGGATTTTCTGCATTTAATTGTTCAGAGAATATTACTAAATTTCCCTGTAAACAACAAATAATACATGGATATTTTGTTTTTTAAATGATGAGTCTTTAAAGGGACAATATAGGCACCCAGACCACCTCACCGCATTGAAGTGATCTGGGGGCAATGTTCCTGTCCTCCTAAGCCCGCAATGTAAAACAATATAGTGTTCCATAGTGTTCAACATTCAACCCTAGAGTGCATTCACAGTGTAAAACTCATGTGTAAGGAAGTACTAACAGTATAAAGTAAATCACAATCAATGTAACAGTTCAGAGGAGTCTAAAAATTCTACCAATACTCAGTGCCTTTTAATTGCATTACAGGTTCCATTTTTGACATTTGTAGACTTAAAGATATACTTTGAGCATCAATACAAGTAAAGCTTTTAATAATTTTTGGTTTCATTAATGTGCTGTTTTTTGCATGCTTAGATCTTTATAGTTTTTGCCAACAAAAAAGTAATGTTTTGCTGCACAATAAGTCTGCCTCCTTAACCATGCCCCCTCATGCCAGAAAGACTTCCTTATAAAACATATGTACACAGCTCAGCCACTGACAGTACTGAATGATCTGAACGACAAAACAACCTGCATTGGAAGGAGAGGACACCCAGGAAGACCTACAATAAGGAAATCACTGCCTGAATCTAGAGTGTCTGAAGCCAGGTTGTGAATACAAAACAGTACTGTTATTTGTGGAGCTGTGTGCATACATTGAAAATCAAGTCTTTGTAGCATGAAGGGGCATGTCTAAGGAGACATGCAAAAACTATAATGGCTTGCAAATGCCAAAAATACAGCATATTATGAGGCCAAAACCTGATAAATACATTGAAGTAGTATTGTTTCTCAGAGTGTCCCTTTAAGTACTAAAGAAATGCATAATTTCAAAGAGGCTTTTAATGCAACATGGCATTCACAGCATTTTCCTTAAACTGATTTCAAAGGTTACACAAACAAATTATAAAGCCTAAAACTGTGTTGTAGCTGCCCAATACAGACAAAACTTTTTTTGAAAATCTATGAATATTCCTTGTTAGATTAAATGGAGGAAATCTCCACTTTTTTCGGTCGTGGTTTGGTGACGCATATTGAGGTAAATTCATTTTCCAATTGAGTTTCCTAAGGAGCGCAGAAAAGGCTATTCTAATGTTCAAAAATAAATTGTGGCAGTAAATAGATGCATAAACCTAACTTGTAGCTGAATACTTTTCTTTTGTGCTTGATAGAAATCTGACATTTTAATAATTCCCTATTTTGAACAAACCATAGAAGGGTTATTTCCATGGATTTTGATGAAAATATAGCAATAGGTTAAATCAGCAACATTGGCTCTATCGAGCAACAAAATGGTTTATTTAATACTTATGGTTGTTTAGTGATTGATTGCAGGTCACAAGGAGACATCACTACACCCTTCCACAGCAGAGGGCTACAGTGTACGCAACAAATTTCTGTTTTAATTAAACTATAACACTATTAATGCTATGGTTGCATTTGAAATAGTGAGATTTGATTAATCATACTTAGCAGCTTCAAAAAGGTACCATGAAATGGCATTAAGAATAAATATAAATTGCATTATTTCGGGTCATGCTGCAGCATGTGATTTACATACAATATTGCACATTGCAAGTGTTTTCATAGAACCTTGGATCCTTCCCTAAATACTGGTGCCATTCTATATTGGCCATATAAAAAGCCACTTCTGACGTGGCATAGTATGTCTAATACCTCCATGTAGCTACAAACTTAAAATCTCAAAACCTATGGTATATTGCATACTATTAAAGAAGCTGTAACACATCCGCCGCTTCCCAATTAGTCATTCACCAGCAAATGGAAATTTTAAAAGGTACCTTCTACTTTGCAATGGCGTACTCACAAAGAAAGTCAAAAGAGATATCTAAAGGGTAACTTATTTGCCTGAACTGAAACTGCATTGATTTAAATGGACCCTTGCTAATTTTAAATTAATCTTTGTAAATAACAGAACTCACCAGCATGAAAAAACATTAAGATATGAGGGAATTTCCCAAAAGTATGTTACAGGGGATTTGGAACAATTCGGTTGTCTGTGAATAGTTCAATCAGTCAAGATATACAGATATTTAGCTACTTTTAACAGGTAACCAGGCGGCAGTCGAATAGTAGTAGTACAAATTTGGCTGCAAATAAATTTTGCATATGTGAGTGTCCGAACGGTTTAAATCCAACTGAAAAAGACAAATTTTGACAGCCAAACAACATACAGAATAGCCCATGAAGAATACCTTTCATCAATGCATTGGCAAGCAAAATGGCAACTACAGCAGTGTATTGATAAAATGGTATTCCCTGAAAGTAGCACCAAGTAATTTTTCACGACAGACTTACTGTAACAGAAAATACCATGGTACAAGACAAACAGATTTAAGGTAGATGTCTATAATTACTATAGATATATATTCCAAGTAAATATCCTAAACTTGCACATCTCATGATTAGTATAAAACGGTGACTGGACAGGTTCCAGAAGTTGTTGAAATAATTTAAATGTATCTTGTTCTAGTTAGGTTGGCTATACAATGCTTTTCATAATTTACCCTACGTTTGGTCTATACCATAGAGGGTGGCTTTCTTCGGATAGTTGAGGAATCTGATTAAAGAAGCTACTAAAAGATTAAAACAAAAAGAAAATACACATTGTTCAAGTAATTTGAGAAAAAAATAATTGCATTTCATCGATACAAATCAGGTTAAGATGCAGGTCCCACAGAAAAGAACAGTGTCTTATACTACTGTATATGTCTATATCCCACCACACTTAGTCCCCTGTCCTCAGTAGCACCTCTGGCTCTGTCAAGGAACAATAGAGAAAATACCCCATCTCATCCACCTCTTCTGCTGTGAGTTCAGAAAATAAGTTCACTTTAGGGTCTACAGCTGAGGGCAATTCTCCCATCTCCAAGTAGCTTACAGTCTCCTTAAGTGCATGAAGGAATCGGTCAGCCAAGGCACCCTGTGACCAGTCTGACTCCTTTTCACAGATGTGGAGGAGAATATTAGTTAGATGGGAGGCTGTAAGGTGAGTGATAGGCAGATTGTAACGGCAAATTGCTTTAAGGATCCTTAGGCAGAGACTTCGACAACCCCCGTCTTGCTGATCTTTTCCTATAAGGGCAGCAGTTTCTGCTGCACGTTGACTGAGGCGCCACATGTTCCCATAACGAGGCAGTCTGTGAGATTTGGCTACTGCTGTTTTATCTTCAAGTGCCACCAATGGCAGAAAATCAATGAAGAGCCTTTGGTTTTCTTCATACTGAACTTCCAAGATGAGGCTATCAGATGGCACCACAGGTCTAATTACATAACCTAACATACTACCAATAGCTGGCCAGTTGATAGAGCCAGCCACAACTTTCTCAAAAGTGGCTACCACAGCCTTTGGGCAAAGGTACCCACCCACTACACAGCGATCCCAGTAGCTTGTCCCCCTAGGGAAGTACTCAAGGTTTTCACGACGTAGAAGACAGAATCCTGGTAGGTTAAGGATAGTTTCTTCACCAGGAACACATGACCACAGATTCTTTTCCACAGAAAGTGGAACCATGAGCTGAATGTGATCAGCCCTTACCACCTAAAGAAAAAATTAAAAAAAAAAAAGATATAAGAGAAAGCTTGCTAATTTACAGCTTTTAATTATTTGCACCTTTATATGTTCATTGCAGAAGCCATTATGGTGTCTTCTCATATACGTTTCTTTGACTAGTTGTAAAATACTGCTATAATTTCAATAAAAGATTAGTAGATGTTTAGGTTTCATGGCAGGACCCCTCAATCTGCATCAGAACAGTGTTTGACATTTCCATTTATTATACTAACTCACCTGACAACATTTATAAAACAATAATAATTACTTATACATCTAGAAGCCCTCATGAAATATATAAAATTGTATATATAAATATATTATTGGTGTACATATGCAGCCTTTGCAAGCCCTTCCCTTCTTCTCCAGCCCAGAGACTTTCTGTGGCTGTCCAAACATATACTTCACCAATGTAGCTCAATGAGAACTGTTTGCAAGGCAAGTGTTCTAGTCAGTTGCTGCCTCTTGAGTTTAGCTCCAGCTAGCTAAACCACCAGGGAGTAACAGGACTGGGTGTCCGATTGACAGCCAGGGGGTGTTACAAGATGTGCCAATTTCTATAGAAATCTGCACTTTTTGTAATACGAAAAAAAAAAAAAAAAAAAGTGCTTTAAATGTTTGGAGTGATCGTTTAATGCAGTGGTTTGTAATCAATGACAATCTCTTAGCATGGCTCAAATCACTTCCTGGGCTATAATGTTGCAGTGTAAAGAAATAAAAACAAAACTAACAAAAATGTGGGATTTACAAAAAAATATATGAATTGCAAAATGACAAGCTGTGACGACTTTTAGTAAATCAGCTACTTTAACCTAAAGTTTGCAATTCCGTTGTCAGTTTGCTACAACTTTGTGTTAAGTGAATAAATCCCATTGTGTTTACAGAAAAGAACAGCAACACTGAAAAACAAGGAAGGAAAAAAAGACTTTGGAGATAAAATAGAGGGAGATAGTGTGACCGGATTATCTTTCTTCCTCTCCATTATTCCCAGCAATGTACTCAATGGAATAAATCAGCGATTTGTTTCTCAGAAGAGATTTTGAGCAGAATCCAAAGTTACAAGGTCACCGAGCCAGAAAAATGTATTTTATATAAATGAATCACAAGGCTTATGGAAACAGCCCATTCTAGGATATAGCATACCCACCCATCCCGACAATGAGAAACAAGCTGCTTTATACTTTGTGCTAAATGAAGAGCAGATGCTCAGATTTCTTCTTGCTGATTTTATAACAGATCGGCTAGTGAACAACATCCCATTCATGAAAGCCCTGCTTTGTATCACTGGAAACTCACTGATGAAAACCAGCACATTATGTCTCTTAAATGAGCAGTCTTAAGCACAATAACAACTCAAACTAGCTGTAGTGGTTAGGGGTTAGAAAACTGCAAACACCATTTTCTGATTCTGTGTCAAACCATTTCTAAGTGGCTTGACACAAACCAAGAGTTTCCCCAGTCTCCCACGGCCTGGTCTCTGATTACCGGATTGCTAGAGCAGAAATTCCAGCAATGTCGATTTCAACTAAATTTAGATAGATTGATGAACACAAGCTCATTTGCATATCTGCACTTTTTGCCAAATCTCAAGTAAAACACTAATGTATTCACATATGGTGGAGCCTTTGCCCACTGTGTCCAAAGGGTTATCTGCTGGACCCCGCTAACAGGCTTTTAAAAGCTCACAATTTCCAATATATTATTTAAATCATAAAAATAAAGCAAACAATAACTGTTGTTACTTTACTGGGGATTTCCTTTGTAGAATTCTTAAAAAGGGCAAGTGGCTTTTCTGAAAATATCACCATTAAATAAAACATTGATAATTGTGTTAGTATTTTTTTTCCCGCCCATCTAGTCTGCCCAATTTTCTAAATACTTTCATTAGTCCCTGGCCTTATCTTAAGTTTAGGATAGCCTTATGCCTATCCCACTCATGCTAAACCTTCCTCAATGTGTTAACCTCTACCACTTCAGCTGGAAGGCTATTCCATGCATCCACTACCCTCTTGGTAAAGGAATACTTCCTGATATTATTTTTAAACCTTTGCCCCTCTAATTTCAGAATATGTCCTCTTGTTGTGGTAGTTTTTCTTCTTTTAAATAAAGTCTCCTCCTTTACTGTGTTGATTCCCTTTATGTATTTAAATGTTTCGAACATAGGAGAAAGCATCCCTTCTTAACCTTACCTTATGCTATTGTTGACATTTCTGTTGAAAGCGTAACTTTTTTGCTGACCCTGCATCATTTGTCCCAAATACCTTAAAGCGGCATAGTCATGACCACATCCGTGTTTTTTTTTGTTTTGTTTTTTAACCCCCCCCTCCCGACTCCACTACATCTAATGTCTCCCTTAGTCACCACCAAATGCACCTAGCCCCCCTCCCTCCACTTTGTGTGGGTAGATGAAAGCCCTATGGGACACATGCCCACTTAAACACTGGGACTATTGTCTGAAATTCGGACTGGAATTTCGTCTATTCATTCGTCAGAAAGACGAATGAATGAATAGAAATGTCAGACGAACAAACAAACACCAAATATTGGTGGCTGCTCACTTATTAAAAAAAAATAAATGTAAAAAATAAAATTTAAAAAAAGTGTCCCCTCATACCCATGAGTGGCAGGTGGAGGCCCTAAATTACAATAAGGATCTATTGTCCTCCCTCCCGGCCCCCCACCCATGAGCAGGGGGAGCCCGAGGCAGAAGGAGGAGGAGCAGGGGAAGCTCGGGGCAGGAGGAGCCCTGGGCAGGAGGAGGAGCAGGGGGAGCTCGGGACAGAAGGAGGAGCAGAAAGAGCCCGGGGCAGAAGGAGGAGGAGCAGGGGGAGCCTGGGGAAGAAGGAGGAGGAGCAGGGGGAGCCCGGGGAAGAAGGAGGAGGAGCAGGAGGAGGGGAAGCCCGGGGCAAGAGGAGGAGCAGAGGGAGCCCGGGGCGGGAGGAGGAGCAGAGGGAGCCCGGGGCGGGAGGAGGAGCAGAGGGAGCCCGGGGCGGGAGGAGGAGCAGAGGGAGCCCGTGGCGGGAGGAGGAGCAGAGGGAGCCCGTGACGGGAGGAGGAGCAGAGGGAGCCCGGGGCGGGAGGAGGAGCAGAGGGAGCCCGGGGCGGGAGGAGGAGGAGAAGAAGAGCAGGGGGAGCCTGAGGAGAAGAGGAGCAGGGGGAGCCTGGGGAGAAGAGGAGCAGGGGGAGGCTGGGGAGAAGAGGAGCAGGCAGAGGCTTTATGGAAATGAGCTGCCAGGGGGTACTCAAGTAAAAAAAGGTTGGGAACCACTGGGCTAGGTAAAAAGTTCAAAACTTATAACAAAGAGCCACACTGGAGAACCAGTGTGGACTTATACATGTCATTTTATTTTTCAGAGCTAAAAAACATATTTCCTATACGTCGGGAATAAGTCAATCTAAAATTACAATCTCGGAAAGTGGCTTCTCACTTTTGAGGCACTCCCTTCCAGTGATTATCTGTACACAGGCACACATACATGATTTAGACCTATTTTTTGCTGCACTAATGCACAACTCTATATATGCAACATCAAAACAATGTTTCTATAGGAATTATCCAAAACGTGTCTGATCAAAAGGGTAGTTGCAGATCTTTAGTATGCATCCATTATTATACTAGATGTAAACGGCGAAACATTACATCCAAATTAGATTTTCTGCAACTTTAAAAGCGGTGAGTAAACCACAGGTGTAAAACAACATGTTTTCCTGTTAGTGCAGTATGGTACACATCCTGCGTGCTGCCGTTAGAGGTTATTCTCATAACCGCCACACCACATCCTGGCATGAAGAGTCACATAGTTAAATTTCACGCAAATGTCTTGTGAAAAACAAAAAAACAAAAAGGAATATACAACTAAATACAATAAAAAGTACATCCTCATCGGTTTAAAAAATAATTAATAAAAACACCTCACCATACCATAAAATTGTTTCTATATTTTTCACTTCTTCTCTATTATTCAATACCTTAGCAGTCACTCGAATATATTACATTCACAAAGCATGTGTATTCTACAAAGTGATGATACACAGACTTTTCCACTGCCACATCTGCCATTTATCATGAGCCTTCACTATTGCCGGCTGATGAGGACAGGTATCCAGCAGGATCCTCTATAGACACCCAGTGCCTACTCTCCTGCATATACAATACTAAACTTATGATGCAACTCTGAGAGATGAAGCTGTCAGGAGAAATGTCCAAAAGGAAGAGAAATCCAGGTAAATCTTCCCCCAGCCATCCTAATGAAAGCAGAAAGCTCAGCAAAACTTTTGAAACTATTTAACACATTGTGCAGCGGCGCAATGGAGTGGTCAGCTCATAATCTGCTGCCTCACGCACCCTCCAGTGATGTCGGGAGCCGATTATGATGTCAGCCTGATCCGGCATCACTAAACAGTGTTCTAGGGAGCATAGCAGGGAGATGACAGCAGCCCCAAAGATAGGGAGGCTGTGTGGATTTAAAATAAAATTAAAAAGTAATAATTTGTGAGTGTCTGTGTCAGTGAGTGTGTGTGTGCGTGTGTCAGTGTTTCAGTTTGTTTGTATGTATGTTTAGGTGACCTGCACCCCTCCAATCACATAGGAAACGTGTTTTTTACTCACCTTTTTCCCACGCTGTGCTGGTGGCCTCACCTCCTCTAATCTAGACAGACAATCTCAGCTAACTCACTGCTTACCCATAGAAAAGAATTGGGGGACTATTGCGCTGCAAAACGTCACACTGCATCACTTAACGTCTCCTCGTCAATACATTCCTATGGGGAGCATTAACAAGGTTGCTGCACAGTGTGCAGCACTGACCCAGGAAGCACCTCAAGAGGCCACCTGAGTGACTGTCACTAGAGGTGTTACTAGGCAGCAATGTAAACACTGCCTTTTGTCATAAAAAAGTCAGTTTTTACTTTGAGAAGCATGCAGGGATCTGGTATAGACTTCAGAACAGCTACATTAAGCTGTAGTGGTTCTGGTACCTATAGTGTCCCTTTAAGAATTATAATTTTGACATTGAAAAATCTGTCTCCTAACTTTTTAGCTGGCTCCTAGATTCAAATTTGTCAAGCCCTGTACTATGATATGTGTAAAGAATCCATAATAATTATTTACCATGATCCTGCTGCTCCTAAAAGTCTGGGAAACTGGTATAAGGGATAAAAATGCCTGTATATCCGATAGAATGTACTGCCTTCAAGCCGGAAAGCCTATGGAAGACGTTAATGAAAAAGTAAAGTCTGCTAATACGGCATGGCGGGTTAGCCGGTATATCGGGAAATAACAGGACAGAGGAGGCAGTGAAAAAGAAAAAGGTAGTAAGTAGTATAAACTACAAGAGCCCCCCCGTGCCTTCAAGGGCACCTAGAGCCAACCCCCCATAGATAAAATAGATGGAGTGCAATAATGAAACCATCGAGTTAGATTGGTAGCATAGTCAATCCCTTGACGCGCGCGTTTCACCCGACCAGGCTCGTCAGAAGGGAAGTTTCATTATTGCACTCCATCTCTTTGGTGGTTCGTTAATAATACACTGTTTTCTTCTGAGATGCCTGTGTTTGCGTATTTATCCCTGTTGCCGTAAACTGCAGTGAAGGCCCATCTTGCGAACATGTGTTGGTGTTTACGCGTTCTGGTCTTTTGTCTGTATCCCTGAGTTCTAGTGTGTCTCGTGGCTACCTGCTCGTGCATATTGGGGTTGTATTTGTTTTGTATGTTTCGTGTCCTTTCCCTCTGCTGGTGATGGTGAAACCTTCTGCGGTAAGTCTGTGTCACCTCTATTGCGTGTTTCCATGGTTATATCTATGTAGTGTTGCTTTATTCTGGAGCTCTGTGTGTCTGCCTCTATTGTTGCGTCTTTGTGGTTCCGGTTTGTGTGTCTGAGTCACTGTCTGTGTGTCTTGGTGTCGTCGCGTTGAGGTGGGTTCACCTGTGTGCGTGGAAGTGGTGTTGTTCTGTGGGTTTTGGGGTAGATCAAAAAGGTCTGTGTTTGGGCTGTGGATGTGTGTGGCGCTCAGATCGTGTGGTTTCGCAACTCTCGTCTGGTGTTATCTGACTGCAGTGGCCGTTTGTTCTATGTCTTGGCCGTCCGTGTGTTTGTAGTGGGTCTTGGTTCAGGTTGCGTAGTTTAACCATATACCATTTTGTATAGGATCCAGTTTGGTACCGCACAGACGTGTGCTATACCTTGTGAGTGCAATATTATAACCTTTCATACTCATAGCTATCGAGCTAGTTTCATTGATTTTAAATATATTTTTTATTTTATTTTTTTATTTATATTTTCACATATTTTTGTGTGTGTGTGTTACACTTGGGTGTTGCCTAATTTTTTCGGCAATTTTTATCTAATCGAATTAAAGTATTTTTTAGTTTTGTTGGTACTATATGGTCAGTTTGCCGCTGGTATACTTATTAATTTTCCAGTACCCCAATATAGGTATATTACTCCTCTTTTTTCCTTCTTTAATTTAATATTTTCGGATAAGCTCTTCAAATTATTTAATTTTTTTTAAACGATTTAAATACTTTGATATAGTATGTGTTATATGCATTTTTAAATATTCTAATATTTTTTAAAAATAAAATTTAAAATGTTAATCCAAAAATATAAAATCATTTGAAAAGCTTACCCAACAATAATAAATCAAGGCCAATGTTAGCAAGTATTAAATGGGAACCCAAATCTATTCAGTATAACTGAATGTAGGAATAACTTAAAAAAAATAAAAAAATAATTAAAACAGATAAAAAAAAAATTAAAATGGTGTCACTTCTCAGGATTTCATAAAGATGTAATCCTTATGAACGGATCATGCGAAACTTAAATTACAAAGCAACCCAGAGACCATCAGACAAAGTAGGGACTGCTTTGCCTTGCGGTAAACCGGAGGTTGGCAAAAAGGCAGAACTCAGCAGTCAACATTTGTCCAAATTGATTTATCATCTCACTAATTGCCGGATGGCATCCATGAAGGATCCCACACTAACATCAGTGTTTTACCCTTGCATGCGCAAGAGTAAAGTACTGACAGTTCCTGTCAAATGAAATGCCAGGAGTAGGAGAAGTTGGTGGTGGCCGCAAGGGACAGCTTAAACTATGTAAAAAAACTCTTTTCCACTGCACCCCTTCTATCACATGACCCTAACCCCTAAGGAGAAATGTTTCATTTGGGATATTTGCAAAGTAAGACCCAAAGAAAGTGACAGATTTGCTTTAAAATAAAAAATAAATAGAGAGGGAAAAAAAAATAAAAATTGTTTTTGATAAAGGGCACATTTAAAATTACCTGCAAGTCATCATAGAGGCTCCCACTCAGGTGCATGTCTCGAAGAGGCATATCTGAGAACTTGCTGCGTATAAAGTTGTGCAGTTCAGCACATATATCAATAGCAGCCTGCTTGGCACAACTCTGCTCTGTTGGTGGGATGGCTACATGCTTTTTGTAGTAAGTGAAGAGCTTCTCCTGGAGTGAGAACTTCAAACGAGTCTTCTTCAGGTCTGCTTGTGATTTCCGAGCTGGTGGTTTGGGATGAACAGGTTCTGCAAAGAGTGGGTCTAAATTAAACTTTTTGAAAGATAACATTGGCATGAGCTTACAGTTTACTAAAATTTGATATGCTCCATACACAAATTTGAAGATATATGATTAAAAACAAACAAAATATTGGATACCTGTAACATCATTCATAGAACTCCTACTCTCATTATGAACATTCTGTTTCTGGGTTACATGTAAGTCAGATATACACTTCAATAAAGAAGAACCCTACACTACTTGGTTGCATTTAGGTTGTGCTAGGGAGACAGCTCAATGAATACATAATTAACTTAACTGGACTATAAGTGGTTTGAACTAAACCTCAACGCAGAAAATAATAGAGGTCAATTACCAAAGTGGGCCAATGTGCCAGCCGCTCTCCTAGCCCATAATTGTTACGCAACGCTTGGATAGCTTCCACTAATAACGCAAAGTGTCATGAACCTTGAAAATAATGTAAGCAGTTTATTGTGAACACATCCTCACCTGATTCAAATACTGAAGGGTCAGTGGGGAGAGTCTGCAGGCTACGACTCACATTTGTCTTCATGTCTTTGTTCAAAAGCCTTGTAGAAGATCCAAGCCAGCTTGGTTCCTCCCAGCTCCGTTTCCCAGACTGACTGGAACGTGAAGGACTGGCAGGCGCACTGATTGCTCGATCATACATCTGGTAAGGGTGACGACAGCACAGATGAAAAAAAATCTATTGCTGCTGCATGACTAATAATGAAAACAAATATGGCCAAATAATGCATTTAACTTACAACTGGGATGCTCTTTCTCTATCTCAATACATTATGTTTATTTTATATTATATAGTGTGTGTATATATATATATATATATATATATATATATATAATGCCAAAATACCAGAGTATTGCAGTATGCAATGATACCTTTTTTATTGGACTAACATAATATTTCAAAGACAAGCTTTCAAGAGTTTTCCTCTCTTACTCAGATCTGAAGCAATCTACACTATATATTTACACACACACTTTAACTGTTGGAGCACTGAAAAAAACAGTAAAATATAAAATAGGATTAAAGAAACCGCTCCCAGATGAGCTTTAGGGGTTACATGCATATCCCTTCTCTTATTTTCTGAAAGTGCTGAGCTCAAGAGAAATTGTCTCTTTCATATGTGAGCCAAGTTCCACACTGAATTTATCAGAAGAGCAAAATGTGGCGACACCCATGCTACTCTATGAGAAGCACATGATTGGCACTGAACATCCTCACACGTGAAGATCTCTCAACGGGTGTAGTAGCGGCGAGGATGAAGTCATGCCAGCAAATTAGATACAAGGAATTAAATTTTTTTTTTATTTTTTTTAGAGGAACTTTCAACTTTGACATTTTTATTTAAATGTACAAAGTGAAAATATGTAAAACAGCACACTTCTTTCCTATCCATTGATATCCTGGTTACTTACCCGTTTAACAGCCAGTGTAGCTATTCCCAGCATGGCAGCTCCCCCCACACCAAGTACCAAACGTGCATTGGATAACACAAAATCAATGGCAGTTCCAATGCCATTGTCGTCCTTCTTGCCTTTCTTCTCCCCAGCTCCTGCCATGATTCAGCAAAAAAAAAAAAAAATACAGGGAAGATCGCCCTAAAAAAAATATTTAATAAAAAAAAATCACCTAATCAAAATATGTCCAAATTTAATAACTAGCCAGAGTTCTTTCACAGACATCAGAGAACAAACTCTACAATCATTTACAAGCTTAAATTAAAAAGGTACTGTCCCACATAATCTGGTGATTATTTTCCTTGGGAAATTAACGCTTTATTTTCTCAAGGCAAATACTGTCCTGAAACAGAGACCAAACTGAAAAGTTAACATTGGCTCTTCTCACTTACCGACCGGGTTCCGTTCTGATGAATTGGTCAGTAAGTGAGGATGTGCTACAGAGCATGTGCACCAGTGCAGGTCTATGTTCTGGGAAAATTCCCTGAACACAGATCAGCTCTCTAATGTGGGGAATCCCTTGAATCCCTGCGCTAGAGAGCTGGTCGTAAGTCTGAGCCGTCGTTAAACAGATAAGTTGTAAAAGTAGGACTACTTTTATTACTACTGATTACATTTTAGCTGTAAATTGTGATATGCATGGATCAAATTTTATTCCTTTATTTAACACACCTTCAGACTACTGAAGTGCATTCAATTACTCCCACAATTATATACACTGAAGAAAATTATAAACGTAACACTTTTGTTTTTGTCCCCATTTTTCATGAGCTGAACTCAAAGATCTAACACTTTTTCGATGTACACAATTTACTTGGCTGTAAGTAAAAAAAAAAAAAACCACAATGAACAATCATGTTTCTTTTTCATTTGAGTCTTATACTTATTGCCCTGAGGAAGTCCACGAAGGTGGATGAAACACGTAGGGCCTTTTTGAATACCTGGCGCACATTCATATATATGTACAGTTAAACCGCTGAAAATTCTAAAACCATCCATTCTGGCAGACTGACTCAAGTTGCTCTGCTGAGCATCCAGAATTCAGTGTCTGTTTGGAGTGAATTATTTGGCACCCATACCTCTGGAGGAGGCACCCTGAGTCTTTATTGATAGCACCATTTCATGAGTGCTATTTTATTTGTTATGGCTTATCTGCTAAGCAATGTTAAACCTCTGATTTTTTATTTTATTTTTTGTATACAGAATATAGCCATTTCCCTACTATTTTAGGTCTATGCACCTGCACAATGAATGCTTACACCTTACCCATCCCAAATGTTGTATGCAACATTCCAAAATTGGCAAGAATGCATTGAATTCTATGCATTGTGGGATAAAACACTGAAAAGGCAGGGGCATTTTCATAAAACATTTTCTATCTGCTGCAGCAGCAATCTTAAGGGGAGACAACAGCTTCAGGCAAGTATAAACTTGCATACTGATACTGGGAGTGAAACTGAATACAGTTACATGATTAAAGGACCACTCTAGGACCCAGACCCCTTCAGCTTAATGAAGTGGACTGGGTGCCAGGTCCAGCTAGGGTTAACCCATTTTTTTTTATAAACATAGCAGTTTCAGAGAAACTGCTATGTTTATTAATGGGTTAAGCCTTCCCCCTAATCCTCTAGTGGCTGTCTCATTGACAGCCACTAGAGGCGCTTGCGTGCTTCTCACTGTGATTTTCATAGTGAGAGCACGCAAGCGTCCATAGGAAAGCATTGTAAATGCTTTCTATGCGACGGGCTGAATGTACGCGCAGCTCTTGCCGCGCGTGCGCATTCAGCCCAGAAGGAGGAACGGAGGAGGAGAGAAGGAGGAGAGCTCCCTGCCCAGCGCTGGAAAAAGGTAAGTTTTTAACCCTTTCCCCCTTCCAGAGCCGGGCAGGAGGGGGACCCTGAGGGTGGGGGCACCCTCAGGGCACTATAGTGCCAGGAAAAAGAGTATGTTTTCCTGGCACTATAGTGGTCCTTTAACTGATGTTGATTACATCATTTGCACTATTTGCAGAAAACAGGTCTACTGTACTCCAGCCTCCCTTGCAAATACACATACTTTCTCAATAACATACTAGCACATAGTCACAGCTTACAATAATGTTGCTAGGTGTGCTTTTTGAGCAAAACGATACTCACCCACACTGGTTAACTGAAATTCAATGTCTGTAGTTATTAAACCAAGCCACCAAGCTTGGTCTTAAGAAAAAACTGTCCTTTTTCAAGCTGCCTCTCTTTATCCTCCAGTTTTGAGAGTCTCTGCTGGTTCCTGAACTCTCGACGAATGTATGCAGCGTAGAAGTCGCGGTCTGTATATCGCAGTTGTTGCCCGTGGCGCAAGAGGGCACGGTAAAGAGTCAAAACAGCTTCACGGGACCAGGCTGCCATGACAGGCGGGAGGAAAGAAGAGCTGGCCAAGCCAGTCTGAGAAGAAACACAAACAATAAGTGCATGTTTTAGTCTGTATAACGAATACATTTTAAGAATTAATGTGTCAGTATTAAGGTGTATAAATCTACTGTAAAAAAAAAAAACAAAAAAAAAAAAAACTTTTTCAGAATGTATGTACAAACATATTATATGATTTGCCTATTATTGAAAAAGATGTGTTTTTAAATCCTGCAATCTTCAGTGTTGACGCAAGACATGCACTGTTCTCAGTGCAGTACAGGGACTTAAATCCTGTATGACATTAATACGAGTTACACTCTAAGGCAGCAACTGCAACCTTTCTAATTTAGTCGTCTAATAATGATAATGATATTGTGGAGGGTGACCTGAGTTGACAAAAAAAAAATGTGTGATTCTGTATCCCAAACTCCTCTCCTGGCATATTAAGATTAGGAGTGGAACTGAATTTATGAATGATAGCAACTGCACCTATACCATTGCTACCCTAACATTAAAGGAACACAAAGCCTACAAAAATAAAAAACCTTATTTCACCATAATTGTGCATTATTATCTATATCGGTCATTTATATTGTAAAGCCCTGCGGAGTTGGCGCTATATAAATTCCCTAAAATAATAATTTAGAATACTGAAATATTAACATTGTATTTTTCTAAAACTTGTCATCTTATTTGGCACACTGTTAAATGTAGGCGTGTGTATAAAAGTTATTAAAAGTTTTTTTTTTTTTTTAAATGTTAAATTTAAAACACTCCTATGGCTCTATAAATGTTGCTGTTGTAACACACCATACATTCCTAAAAGCAATCCTTACAGGGGGTGTCATGGGTCAGGATCAACTTAAAGGATGTGTGTGTGTAAATATATATATATATATATATATATATATAACCCTCACATTGGCGTTAGTATGGGATAACAAGCTATTAAACGCCTATTACTCTCAGGCAGCCATCAGCCTATCCTCACCCTCCACCAACACACCCCGATCCTCTATCTCCCAGCCCTTGAGTGGCCGCTAAATTCACACTACCTCTCAGGGTCGCCGGTAACATGGCGGAACTTCCGGAGTCACCGGTGGGTGGAGACTTCCGCTTAGTAGATTGAACTGAAAGCGGCAAAACGTAAGATGCCTGCATCCATTCTTTATTTAAAGGCGGTTATTAGAGCGAATGTGTTCTAGTTGTTACAATATGAATGGGAGTTTGTCCGATCTTTGATGAAATGTCCCCAATTCTGCATGTCAACTGCAGCGCCATATTGATGGACAGAGAGCTTCCGGTTCACAAACCATAGAGTGCGGAGAGAGTGTGCCAGACAGGACTGCTGTGCTCACAGACTTCTTGTAGTTTGATCTGGTTGGACATTGGACTAGTGCCTTTAGGGCTTTTTGTTTTAAAGCAAATACATAAGCACTTTGTATTGATGTGGTCCTTTACATAGAGACCTGCTCACAACAAGTGGACCCACCTCCACACATGGACAGGATTTAATTAAAGTGTTGGCAACACTTAATCCAGTGTTTATTATATTATACAAGAATATGTCCATGTCCTGCCCATGGTGACTTTAGATTGGTAAAAGTGTGGTTTAGCGTATTTTATTAGGTACCGTTTCATTCATGTGTATGATAGAGTAGTTTATATTTTGCATTGCTGTTAAGGTGCGCACCCATTGCAGAGCACCCTCACTGGGCCAGAAAGCACCCATTGCAGAGCACCCTCACTGGCCCAGAAAGCACCCATTGCAGAGCACCCTCACTGGCCCAGAAAGCACCCATTGCAGAGCACCCTCACTGGCCCAGAAAGCACCTACTGATGGGCACAGACATCACCCAGTGCAAGGTATTCCTGTGCACACACATTGAAGGGGCACCCATTGCAGGGCACCCTCATTGGCACAGACAGTACTTGGTGCAGGACTGCAGCCAATGAAGGGTATTCCTTGGCAGACTAGCATTCACTACAGGCACCCTGATGGGCACACAGAGCACCCAATGCAAGGTATTCATTTGAACACACAGCACCCAATGCAGGGCTCCCCAATGGACATACAGCACCCACGGAGGTCCGGAGCTCTTGCCCATTATCCCCACCCTCCCTGCTATTATACCAACGCCCTCCCTGCCATTATACCCCCAATCCTCCCCTTGTCATAATACCCTCCCTGCCTTTATGACCCCATTGTCCCTGCCATTATACCCCCGCCCATCCTGCCCTATACACACACTCTCCCTGCCATTATACCCTCACACCCCCCTGCTATTATACCGTCTTTGTCATATTATTCTGCCTGCCATAAATCCACCACCTGGTCATAATTCTCACCCTGGCATATCCCCTCAACATGTCATATAATACCCACTTGCACTCCAATTGTGAAAGCCGCAGGTAGATTTATTGTCACAAAATGAGCAGCAACGTTTCGACCTAACAATAGGTCTTTGTCAAGCTTAACAAAGACCTATTGTTAGGTCGAAACGTTGCTGCTCATTTTGTGACAATAAATCTACCTGCGGCTTTCACAATTGGAGTGCTTGTGAATCTGTTTTATTGCCTTGTCGTATTGGGATTACTGGTCCTGTTCCAGAGCACCTGCGGCCGCTGGGAGTGATTGTGTTACCGGGAAACTGACGGAGGCCAAGCACAGAGAGATGGACACAGGTTTCTTCAGGAAGGAAGACCCACCCAGGCACATACAACTGTTTCCCCGCTGTCACATTACACACATGCTCACATTCACAGATTACCTATGCAGTCACACACATTGCAAAACATACGCTGTCACACACACATTTTCACTCACAGGACAAGGACAGATATATAGTGGATGGCAGTGAGCTTAAACATTTTTATGGATTACATAAGAGTTTGTGAGCGCCGGCAGCCAGGATATGACGTCATCCTGGCATCGGCATTACTACTGGGAGTGTGAGTGAGCTGTGCAGAAGGAGCACAGAGATCCACCCGAGCAGAAACCGCTAGTCAACAGGGGGAGGATCCACTTCAGCCCTCCCAGAGCAAGGTAGGGATGTTGGGTGGACCTCTTACTTACTAAATATGTGTGTTTGAATGTGATTTTTTGTGTGTATGTCAGTAATTATGTGTGTATGTAACTAATAAGGCCTCTAGTAGCTTGGCTCACTGGGAGGCATTCTGCAAAATCACTAAGAGATGGTACCTGGTGTCCGCAAAGCTCTCCCACATATATCCTGGCAAGTCCACCATGTGCTGGAGGTGTTCAGGACAAGTGGGCACCCTACAGCTTGCCCGAGCATTACAAAATTCTGGCAGGAACTTGAGAAGTTCTTCCAGGATTCCCTAAAGGTTAACATTCCCACCCAGAATGTTATCTCTTACACATATTTCCTACTCCGCTACCTGAGGACATAATCTGCAATTACACACAGATGGAAACAATCACAGGCCACCACTCTGACCGAGGTTCTAACCAGACTTGACACCTTGTGCGGCCTCCAAGGCAACGAGGGTAAATATACAAAGTGGTGGCAGAGATGGCTGTCAGAGACTTATATGTGTAAGACTCAGAGACAAAACTAGATAAAACATTGACTGTATCAATGGTATTAATATACATAATGGATAAAACTGCACATACGACAACACATGAGGTCATACACCCCTCACGAGAATAAGCCACGAGATACTACCGCCCGAAGGAATTCTCAATACATGGCAACCCTTTCCCAACTTAGAACTTAGCCAGGGAATAACCTACGATACTATTAAACCAGGACTGACCAAGAACAGGCTCAAGTCCCTCCCTAGCAGACACCAGAGTGCACCCAATGTGTTTTTCATAGCATGCTGTTACCCCCCACTCTGTTTCTTTTCTTTTTGCAGTACTTGTGTTGTTACTCATGTCGTTTAATTCTATGCTCAAGTGGCATCTTTAGCACAGTATAATATAAAACGCATAGCTGGCACAGACAAGACGCGATCAACATTTAAAAAAAAAAGTATTGTTGTTAATTCTAGGAAGGGATGTTGCACATTTTGCATGTGCAAAAATGGTAAATGCTCGGTTTCTAAGAAGTAATAAACGTGTCAACAGTTGAAACCGAAGAGGTTTTAGAATGTACACTGCTGATCTTGTATATCACAATGTAATGAATGTGATAGAACCTATGTTAATTTCGCTAAACTCTGATTCTGTACACCAAGCATGTCAAACTCAAAGTGTGGCACAGGCCACATAAACAAGGTTTAAGTTTATGTGGGCCGCACACACACACACACACACACACACATACTCACTGACAGAGAGACACACATACTCACTGACAGAGAGACACACATACTGACCGACAGACACACAGAGACACACACACACTGACAGACATACATACTCACTGACAGACACACACACATACTTGCTGACAAACAGACACACACACATACTCACTGACAGACACACACATACTTGCTGACAGACACACTCATACTCACTGATAGACACAGACACACACATACTTGCTGACAGACACACACATACCTGCTGACAGACAGACAGACATACTTTTTTTTTATTGCTCCTTACTTTATGGAGCCGATGGGGGGCATCTCCCTGGGGTCCTTCCTGCTCCTAACTGCTCCCTCGCGCGGTTTAGTGATGCCGGGTGCCGGAATATGACGTCATATTCCGGCGCCCAGCTTCACTTTAGCCGACGCTCGCAAGGGAGGGAGCAGTGAAGAGCAGGAACACTGAGCTCCCTCGCTGACCATCCTCCCCAGCCGGGTAAATGTTAGCAGAGTAGGCACCTGCAATGTGGGGAAAGCAGGTGCCTACTCTGCTATAACAGTAGCATGTACTCACGGCTCCCCGGGCCGCAAAGATGGCCATTGTGGGCCGCATGCAGCCCACGGGCCGCGAGTTTGACATGTTTGCTGTACACAGTATTGTCTAGTGCTATTGATGTCACATGTTTAATCTGTTGTCTTATCTATGTATCATGTATACCTTATATTATCATAAATAAAGAAAACATTTACAAAAACAACAAATTATGCGATTGTGTATGTCTATGATTATGTGTGTGGTTAAGAGTGTATGTTGTTATTGTGTGTCTCTGTGGTTATGTGGGTGTATGTCTGTGATTGTGTGTGTATTTATAAAAATGTGTATGTGTTTAGTAGATAGCGCCCTAATTTTGTGTCCTTAAATATGTCAATCCCACGTAAGGATAGCGAAAAAGGGAGTTATCTACTAAACAACTGAAAGATTGTTAAAAGATTACATTTTTATCTTTTAGCTGTTTAGTAGATAATTCCCTAAATTGGTGCCCTTATGTGAGAATCCATATATAAAGATACCAAATTAGAATGCTGTTTAGCAGATAGCTTTATTTGGTGTCCTTAAATATGGCAAGCTCACATAAGTATAGCAAATTGGGGAGTTACCCGCTAAACAATGATATAAGTTAAGATGTGTCAGCCAGCCCAAAACAAGAAATCTGGTTGGCTAATTTTGTTGTCTGATGCCAGCACATTACCCCATCATCTAGTGAATATTATTAATGCCCCCCATTTTTGACTGTGGTATCTAATGTTCCTCTCCTATATATTGTTCCTAGAACTGCCACTACTTCAGGGTACCAGTTGTGTGCTGCAGGGCTTTAACAGTGCGACCGGGCTTCGGTAATAATGTAATGGCAGCTCACACTCAGTGCTATATACATTTAAAAAAATGTCATGTATTTTTTACATTTTAACCCCTTAAGGACCAAACTTCTGGAATAAAAGGGAATTATGACATGTCACACATGTCATGTGTCCTTAAGGGGTTAAAGTGGGGATGGGGGTGCCAAAAAGAGGATCAGCCCTGGGTGCCATATGCTCTAGATACGCCCCTGGGAGCTCCCTTATGGTCCCAGTGCTTCTCAATGAATCAGCCAGCACTCTGAGCCATTGACTAAGCACCATGACCACAAGGCAGCTCATAAGGTGATCTCCACCCAATATTACTGCAGACTACAATGTTCCCTCACCAGCTATCAAGCCCAGAGATCCAACCACTGGAACACTAAGGATAACACTTCTTTTCTACCAAAAAAAAGCAGGAGGGGACAGATGGTAGTCCCCCCCACCGTACACACACTCAACCAACATCTCACACACACAACACTTAGCCACAACACACAGTTCCGCCTTCCATCCATGCAACAACACTC